CATGTTGGCTCGACAAAAGACGTGCGACCGTACAGTAGAAACGGTCGCACGTCTTAGTTCACACTGCTCGATTCTCGTACGATCGCGGGATTTCGCCCGATTCTCGTACGAGAATCGAGCAGTGTATGGGCACCTTTAGCCTTAACAATTGGCATGCCTTAAAAGTAACTGTTTTGGGAGACCATTGAATTAGTGGGACTAGTTCTGCTTTAAGAAAACTGTGCAAGACATGCTGAGAAAAAAAAAAGATTTCAGATTAACACTCTAATACTTTCTTCTGCAAGGATTTGGAAGAGACATGCAAAAAAGGAAAGTCAAAATGAAGTGAGAACTCTTAATTTAAATGCCTTTTCCAGGTCCATGACTCAGAAATGATTGAATCCAGAGGAAAGCCATGACAGCTAGGCAACATTTTCAGATAGAAGTTAGTTATAAGAACGCTGCGTTTTTGTGCACGTTTTTCACTTGGTTGCCCATTTACATAAATGTGTCACAGTTGGGGGGGCGTGGCTACGACATGGCCAAGTAAAGAAGCACATTGCTGGAGCTCTGATCCCCTCGGTCTGTTAACGGACTCAGTAGACTCTAATATCGCACCTATATTGCATGTCTCAGCACAGAAGGACACCCGGCCCCTCCAAAGTGCAACTGGGCTCTGATATCCAGCGTTTTTTCTATAAAACGAGGTCATCGGGGGAAGTGACCACGCCGGACACCATGGCACAAACGCGTGCGGCCTATGCCGGTAACACTCCCGGAAAACATCCTCACGCCACTTCTCCCTGTTGTGAGCACGCCGTCTGAGCCGGAGGCCTCCGGGCTTCAGGCGGGCTCGAGTGCAGCGGAACTCGGGGATTGGCGGCACTACCTCCCTCTCCTACCCACGAAAAGAGATCTGGATGACATGGCAACGAAAATCGTTGCTGCTCTACGCCAGGAGGTACACGAAGTAAAGCAGCGGGTCACCACCCTGGAGACACAGGTCACTACAGTGGAGCTAACCACCTCACAACTGTCGCAACGCGTCTCAGCCCTGGAGGGGGCCCAAGGTGAGACACAGCAAAAACTCACCACTCTATTCCTACATCAGGATGATGCAGAAAATAGAAGCCGCCGCAACAACCTGCGGGTGAAAGGTGTACCGGAGGCAACATCTGGAGCTGAGCTGCGTACCACCATTGCAGCAGTCCTGAATTTGCTATTGGAGAAGCCCCCCACTGACCCACTGGAACTAGACCGGGTCCACAGGGTGCAAACCTACCGCTCCCAGATGACTGGAGCACCCCGTGACGTCCTCTGCCGGGTGCACTTTTTCACGGTAAAGGAAGCCATCTTACGGGCAGCGTGGAGTAAAGGCACGGTTTGACGGCGCACAGATCCAAGTTATGCCTGACCTCTCCCGCCATACCCTGAGGATGAGACGGATCCTGAAACCTCTCCTGGATTTGCTACGTGAGGTGGGTGCCACTTACAGATGGGGCCATCCCTTTCACCTCATCGTCCAACGCAATGGATCCTTCTTTGCTCTCCACACCCCAAAAGCCTTGCTGAATATGTTTGATTTGCAACAGTTTGTTATTTTGCGGTGCCGGTGTATGCTGTAACCTCACCGTAGCCACTGTTACTATGTTATATGACACTGATTCAGTAAATAAAGAATTTAAAAAAAAAAAAAATGTGTCACAGTTTGCTTGCAAAAACGCTTGCACAAACACACTTGCAGCGAACATGTGCATAGAAACGAGTGAAAACTCTGTCGCCTAGGTGCGGGTAAATGATTAAAAAGGATTTGCATAATAGAATTACCCTAAAGCACCAGTAGAGAGTAGTCAAGTTGTGTTATTTTGAACTTACAGTATCCTGTCACAATTATTGCCATCTTAGGCCATTATATGCATTCAAATTTTAGTACAAGCCCAGAAAATGATTTGGACATTAAGGGGGTTATTCACAAAGCTGCCGAAGGCAGCCGAGAGAATAATCAGGCCAAAGTGAGCCGAAGAACGTTCGGCTAATCACTACGGCTCAGTACGGCTGATTTCAGCCGTACATCGGCTGCCTTCGGCTGCATTTGTTCAGCCGAACATGCTTTGCATGTTCGGCTGAGCCGAAGTGCAGAAGGACTTCGACTTCGCCGATCCAACATCAGCCGATCCAAAGCTCAGGCAGCTCACTCACTGCCCTATTTTTTTTTCTTTTCTGTGTGAAAAGAGGAAAAACTAAGGTTGTTAACATATTTTCTTTCCAGGTTGAATGCAATATTGGTGTAAGAGTCCAGGGCCTACTACGTATGCGCCAATGGTGCGTTGCCGCAAGAGGAAATCCGCCCCAACCCGCGCATGCGCAGAAGACCTGATGAAAAAGGCAGGAAAATATCCAGGAGGCGCACAGGAAGTGACCTCAACCTGATGGAAAAAGGCAGGAAAATGCCCAGGAGGCGCACAGAAAGTGACCTCAACCTGATGGAAAAGGCGGGAAAATGCCCAGGAGGCGCACAGGAAGTGACCTCCAAATTCAATCATCACTTCCCTATATAAGCCCAGCCCAGACAATGCCAAAATGCTGGATTATGTTCAGTCCCCCCTTGTTCCTGTGCTAGTGTGTGATCTGTCTGAACTTGTTGACCTGGAAACCCATTTGAATACTCTTGATTGCTGCCTGCCATTGACCTCGGATTTGTACCTTGACCATTCTACTTCTTTGCCCCTTTTGTACTCAGCTGCCAGATTGGAACCGACCCAGGCTTGGATCACGACCATTCTTCTGATTAACCCTTGTGTACTTCGTTACCAGAGTGGACTTGACCTCGGCTCGGATCTCGGACTAAGGCTTGCACGGTGCTCGCACCCCTGGCATCCGTGGAAGGAAATCTCTGTCTCCATCTCCAGAGACTTCAAGGACCCGAGGTGCAAGGGAGGCCTCCCCACTACTTCGGTCTCACCTCAGGTACGTGGCCCTGACAATCGGAGAAATTCTGCGTTATGGCTCTGAGGAGCAAATGATTATTTAAATATGTATTTCCTATGCTCCTTAGCTCCATTTAGTGTCCAATAATGCTGTATTTACCCGATCTTACATTCAGCTTGGAAATAAAATATGCTAATAATGTTGGTTTTTCCCTCTATTCTCAGAGAACAAATGTGCATGCAATTTCACAGGGCAAATGGCGAATGTGAATGTGAATTGTTTATCAATACATCCCTAATTGTAGGTTGATGGAGATGTAGTGCTGCACTCACAACCGGATTTACTCTCTCTGCTGCCTCAAGGCCAGGTTCCTCAATGCACCCCCTAACCGCCAACCCCCTTCATGGAGAATGGAAGACCTGCAGGCTGCATACAAATGATCTCGGCGAAATTGCAGAGATCACATGTACAAATCAAGCAGCGGCTTCCCCGCTGTACATTTAGCTCTGCTTTCGCAACGCATGGCTAAATATAGAAAACAACTACCTGCCCGGCGCCCGGAAGGGCATGTCCCGGGCGTCAGGATAAAGGAATCCAGCACCCCTGCTGCCCCTCTACTCCCTGCTGCCCCAAGGGCGGGCCTTGGTTGGCCTTGTGGGAAATCCGACCCTGGATAGTTGTTTTTGGACACTAGAACAAGCAACAATTTTAGACCAAAAGGGGTTAATAATGTACTCAAACTTTTGAGGCAATGCAAGAATGCATTTTTCATTGTTGTATGCATATGTATGTGAACTTAAACTAAATATATCTGCCAATGTGTTTTTGTTTGTGTAAAAAGCGGATTGTGGCTGGCTTTGGAGCACTACATGTGGGCAACACATGTTGCTCTAGGTGTAACAGAAAAAAATGCATTTTATTACAGTTGATGCTTTTTTACCCCAAACTGAGTGGAATAAATAGGATATATGTCATTACATTTATTTTTTTTCATGTTTTTGTGATAAATGGTTATGTGAGTTAACAAACCATTTAAAAGTATGATAGTCATATAACTAAGAACCTACATACACAATGCAAGCATTCAAAGGCAGTGCTTTATACTAATCTGTCCTCAACAGTTCTTCAACAGAACTGAACCTCTTTAAATAACTTTCAGGCCTAGAGCAGACATTGCATGGCCTGACTGACCAAGCACTGGAGGCACAGCAGCAGGAGGAAAAGGAGAAATTGCTGCTATCCCAGGGTCAGCAGGATACTTTGCCTACTGCCTCCTTCCTTGGGAGGCAGAGACAGCAGAAGGCAAAGCAGGAATATGAGGGGGAGG